ACACACACACACACAAACAAACACACACACAAACACACACACACAAACAAACAAACAAACAAAGTGTACCCCACACACACACACACACACACACACACACAAACAAACACAAACACAAACACACACACACAAACAAACAAACAAACAAAAACGCCGAGTGTACCCCAGGCGACATATTAAACCGCTCTGATTATTATCATTGTAGCTGACAAAGGACAGCGAGCGACGCGCTGATAACGAGAACTTTATATTTTGTCTAGTCATTAGTTGCCAATTAAACCAGTAAATGTAAACACTTTCTACAAAAGTGTATGTATTGTTACTCCGTTCTTACAGTTATATAGAGTATGACTCAGCTGTGTACACTGCTTTACACTAAATTGTTGTTGTCATATCTTCACTAATTTCCTTATTTGGCTACACAGATAGTGTATTGCACTCATGAATATTACAGGACTACATAATTTTTCTTCCAGAATCTATAATGTCTTTTGTGTGTATTTTTGCCTTGTGCTATTAAAATAATGAATTGATAATTAAACTAACATTAAAATTATACATACCGTTCAACAATATATTTGAACATGAGAAACACGTTTTGCAAAAAAAATAAAATAACAATAGTCACATGATCATTTCAAAACTACCGCTAAATAAAACTCACAGGAGTATTTATTAATTTCTTTGTTTTTTCTGTAGTCGTAATGAGGCATTGGAGGAAATCTCCACAGCTGACCTGAAGTGCCTGTTGTTGCCGGCTCTTCTGGGAGCGCTCTCCATGAAACAGGTGAACCCCAGCAAGCGTCTGGAGCACGTGCAGGCGGCCCGCGTCTACTTCATGGACTTCCTCCAGAGGTGCAAGGACTATGATGTGTGTAGTTTTCAGCTGCCCAGAGCCAGCGAGAACACAGCAGACTCTCCTACTGAGGAGCAGACCAATCCATCAGTCCCGATGCCAGTGGCACAGCCAGGCCTCATCGCAATGGCAACACAAAGACAAGCCAAAATAGAGAGGTGGGTTGGCACTGAATATTTGTTTACATGCAATTATTTTATATATATACACTGGGGTAAGATATTTAAAGATGTTTTTAAATTAAGTGTCTTATGCTCACCAATGCTGCATTTATTTGATCAAAAAAATACAGTAAAAACTGATGATTGTGAAACTGTTTTCTGTTTTAATAATATAGTTTCATATAGAATATTTTTTATTGTAATATATGCTGATTTGGTGCTCCAGAAACATTTCTTAGTATTAATAATGTTGTGCTGTTTATATTTTGGTGGAAACGGATACATTTTTTTTGTTCAGGGTTCTCTGATGAATAGAAAGTTCAAAAGAACAGTGTTTATTTGAACTGTTTTGTCACATTATAAATGTTATTTTTGATCAGTTTAAACTGTCCTTGCTGAATAAAAACATTATTTTAAAATCACATTTGAATTAAAGTGTATATGTTAATATTTGTACAAGGTTGGTGTCTTTTCCATCAGTTGTGCTAATGTTTGTGTAACGTTCATGTGTGGCATATTTACTCTGTAAGTTGTTTCCAGGTTTAAGCAGCGTAAGGAGACAGAAGCCAAGCTGAGTGAGATCAGGGGCCTGGTTGAATCTGGCTCAGCCGATGAAGAGGTGGTGAGAGATTTTTACCTGCTGCATGTACGCAGGTGGGTCACACTAGCAATTGAGGAGATCGACTCTATCAACCAGGAGATGGAGATTCTGAAACGGATGGAGCTTTTCAAGCAGGTGTTTGATTGCCACATGAATCTGTGTGATCTGTGTGTTTTTTTGTGTGAATGATGTGGTTGCATATCTACCGCTCAACCTACCTCTGATTTACTGCAGAAAATATATCTTAATCAGTGTTGAGGAGTAACTAGTTACATGTAATGGAATTACGTAATTTAATTACAAAATTAATGTGGTTACACTTTATTTTAAGGTGTCCTTGTTATAGTGTAATTATACATTTAAGTACTGAGTAATATTAATTAACTACATGTACTTACTATATAGTTAGGATTAGGGTTTGGTTTAGAGTTACTTGCATGTAATTATGCATAACCATAATTGTAATCAAGTTACTGAGAAAAATTGTGTAATTAAATTAGTTAATTATGAAAATGTTAACACACACACACACACAGATTTAATTGATTTCGCTTATAAATTGAATTGACTGCTCTAGAATACAAGACACCAATGTTTCAGGAGTTTAGGACACGTGCTTATTCGATAACTGTTTTATTTCCTATTTGGGTTTATATATGTTTCTTTTATTTTTTAGATTAAATGTTCTTTCCAAGGCATTGTTAGATGCCAGTGTTTCCTATCATAGCTATGCAAATATTTGATTTAAAAAACACTGTCGTAGCTATTCAATTATTTCTTATGATTTTAAATTTGTATTTAACTTCAGAATGATCTCAATGTACAAAGAGGTGCTAAAGTCTGATTTTGTGGCTGTGCTTTAAAATTAAATTATCATCTTAATTCAAGTGATGAAGGCTTTTAAAAGTCTGACAGTACTCAGTGTTGTGTACTACTGTAAGCTTAACCCTGCCTGGTTTAAATGTTTGAATGTGATTATCAGTTAAAAACATTAGAAATTTTGTCTTTGCAACAGTGTAATTATACATTTAAGTACTGAGTAATATTAATTAACTACATGTACTTACTATATAGTTAGGATTAGGGTTTGGTTTAGAGTTACTTGCATGTAATTATGCATAACCATAATTGTAATCAAGTTACTGAGAAAAATTGTGTAATTAAATTAGTTAATTATGAAAATGTTAACACACACACACACACAGATTTAATTGATTTCGCTTATAAATTGAATTGACTGCTCTAGAATACAAGACACCAATGTTTCAGGAGTTTAGGACACGTGCTTATTCGATAACTGTTTTATTTCCTATTTGGGTTTATATATGTTTCTTTTATTTTTTAGATTAAATGTTCTTTCCAAGGCATTGTTAGATGCCAGTGTTTCCTATCATAGCTATGCAAATATTTGATTTAAAAAAACACTGTCGTAGCTATTCAATTATTTCTTATGATTTTAAATTTGTATTTAACTTCAGAATGATCTCAATGTACAAAGAGGTGCTAAAGTCTGATTTTGTGGCTGTGCTTTAAAATTAAATTATCATTTTAATTCAAGTGATGAAGGCTTTTAAAAGTCTGACAGTACTCAGTGTTGTGTACTACTGTAAGCTTAACCCTGCCTGGTTTAAATGTTTGAATGTGATTATCAGTTAAAAACATTAGAAATTTTGTCTTTGCAACAGTGTAATTATACATTTAAGTACTGAGTAATTAACTACATGTACTTACTATATGGTTAGGGTTAGGATTAGGGTTTGGTTTAATGTTACTTGCATGTAATTATGCATCATTTATTGTTATTATAATAGTAAGTACATGTAACAAGGATACCCTAAAATAAACTGTTACCGAAATTTTGTTAAAGTAATAGAAATAGTCTCACTACTTATTTCATTTTAAATAGAAGAACTTGTAATCTGTACCGTTACATTTCCAAAATAACCTTCCCAACACTGATCATAATTTAAATATTTAAATTGATTGATAGCCTTATTAATGATTGTTTGTTTCTGTAGAGTACCCCCCAGCCATCTCCACCTAAAAGACCACCCATGAAGCCTTTTATCCTGACTAAGGATGCTGTGCAGGCAAAGTACGTATGCATTTGAGTGTGTGAAGTTCAGTGCTGCAGTATTAGTTTGTGTGATTTTCTTATTTTTTTCTTCTTGAATGTTTTGCAGAGTGTTTGGTGCAGGGTATCCCAGTCTTCCCACCATGACAGTGGATGATTGGTATGAGCAGCACCGGCGGCAAGGATATTTACCTGACCAGGGCATACCACGCAGTGCAGGTGCTTACATACATATTGAGTGCTTTTGCAGAACAGATTATATTTAGAATGTATTAATGGATGATTAAATGATTTTGTCCCGCAGTCTTACTTTCACTTAGCTCAGTTTTAGCTCAGATCATCAAGTGGCTCTGTCTTTCCACCTCAGCAGATGGGGATGTAGAGGAAGATGAGAGAGCAGAAAGAGAGAGGAAAGAAGAGAACGATGATGAAGAGGCACTGCAGAAGGCACGTGACTGGGACGACTGGAAGGACACACACCGGAGAGGATACGGCAACCGCAAAAACATGGGCTGATCTGATTTCACACACTCACATACACGTGCATCCCTTCAGTTCCCTCCAATAAAACTCCCAATGCTGCCAATATGTGACATGGACACAACAGAGAGTGGCACTGTAGTGGTTAGTTAAGGTGGTTCCTTTTTTTTCAAAACCGAGTTTGCGTATTTGACATTCTTTTATATGTCTCTATGTAAATCTTGGTGAGCTTAAATGAGACCTTAAACCCCTGAGCATCTGTAGAGACAGCTGTTTGGGCGTCACCCTTTCCTACATGATTAAAAGTTTGCCTTTTCATGGATGTTGTTTTGAGTGCAGCATTTCTACAGAAGTGTTCCCTGTACTGTCAGCTTTTAGTCAGTTGACTCAGAAGGACATTGTCACCCACATAATTACACCTAATGTGCTGTTTGATTTGATTAAGACTGCATGTTCGTTAAGTATTAGCCGATATTTTGCTAGGTCTCATTGTCGGTTTCAGAAGAGATACTTCAGTGAAGACGGTTCTGAAAGAGCATTTAGAACTAATATCAGCACTTGCATGGATCTGACAATGTGGTTCAGAATTGCTGAAGAAACTGGGATGTTGAAACAAACTTGTCTAGACTGCCTTTTTAATCTGAAATGTATTTATTATCTGTCAGCTTTGCTTTTCTTTTGGAAAACTCATTGTGAGGTCAACTTTCAGTTCTCCAGTAAACATAAAGAGAAATCAGATATCAATCTGAGGTCTCTAGTAATAATGCTTGCTTTGTGATTTATTAAAAAACATTTCAAATTTATTATCAGCATAAGAATTTGACAGACATTAAATTGAAAAAAGGAACATGAATTTAGGATTATTCGATATGTCCTTGTTTTAATGACAGCAATCGACTTTACAAGTGCAAAAGCTGATGATCCAAAATGACAACCAAAAATCTGATATTTTTTATATGCCATTCATAATTGAGTTGAGAATGCCTTTTTAAACTCCAAATAAATTTTGGAATTTCAAGCGAGGAAGCAAACAGGTTGCAGAATTGCATTTGTATTTAATGTAGGCAATAATTAAATTTACTATTTAAATTTTTCAGTATAAATCACCCAGTATAAACATATTTACAGCTGATAATAGAGATCAGATTTAAAGCAGGAAATAATAAAGTTGTTTTCCATAAATTCCTTGTGTAATTCCCATTCAACATCCTGGCCAAGTCTTTATTGTATAACTTTTGTTTCTTCCATTGTTCAAAATTCTAAAAATATATTTTCTGTTTTAACAGAAACCATTTTTTTTTTAAATCTAGTATCGTAGACTTAATTGGGGTCGTGGAAATCCATTGCGGAGGTTTCCATGCTCAGAGGAACCGTAGAGTAGTGCAGGAGAATAGGGCTGGTTGTGTTTCTGTTGGAACGATAAAGAGCAGAAGGATGATTTATTTAAGGAGAAGACCTTTGCTCATCCACAGTAAGCTAATATTTTATTAGAGCACTGCTTCAGAATTGCTCATGTGCTGTATATTATACCATAACATCCCCATGGAGGAAAACAAATAAACTCCTAAACGTTTACTAATCAGTTTCTGAAACTGAAATGTTTAATCTCGAACCATACCAGGTCATCATATGTGTGTGAAGGGACATGTGGTCTGTAATCACTGTGGTGGTCTGCTGAAGGACTGTGCTCTTCATAGGGGTTTCGGCTGGATGAATCTCTAGCGTAAGGGTTGCTAACAATCTGACCCCGAACTGCACCATTGCTACAATCACGCAAATGCACAACACAAAAACCACTTATAGGCATTGTTAGATGCCAGTGTTTCCTATCATAGCTATGCAAATATTTGATTTAAAAAAACACTGTCGTAGCTATTCAATTATTTCTTATGATTTTAAATTTGTATTTAACTTCAGAATGATCTCAATGTACAAAGAGGTGCTAAAGTCTGATTTTGTGGCTGTGCTTTAAAATTAAATTATCATTTTAATTCAAGTGATGAAGGCTTTTAAAAGTCTGACAGTACTCAGTGTTGTGTACTACTGTAAGCTTAACCCTGCCTGGTTTAAATGTTTGAATGTGATTATCAGTTAAAAACATTAGAAATTTTGTCTTTGCAACAGTGTAATTATACATTTAAGTACTGAGTAATTAACTACATGTACTTACTATATGGTTAGGGTTAGGATTAGGGTTTGGTTTAATGTTACTTGCATGTAATTATGCATCATTTATTGTTATTATAATAGTAAGTACATGTAACAAGGATACCCTAAAATAAACTGTTACCGAAATTTTGTTAAAGTAATAGAAATAGTCTCACTACTTATTTCATTTTAAATAGAAGAACTTGTAATCTGTACCGTTACATTTCCAAAATAACCTTCCCAACACTGATCATAATTTAAATATTTAAATTGATTGATAGCCTTATTAATGATTGTTTGTTTCTGTAGAGTACCCCCCAGCCATCTCCACCTAAAAGACTACCCATGAAGCCTTTTATCCTGACTAAGGATGCTGTGCAGGCAAAGTACGTATGCATTTGAGTGTGTGAAGTTCAGTGCTGCAGTATTAGTTTGTGTGATTTTCTTATTTTTTTCTTCTTGAATGTTTTGCAGAGTGTTTGGTGCAGGGTATCCCAGTCTTCCCACCATGACAGTGGATGATTGGTATGAGCAGCACCGGCGGCAAGGATATTTACCTGACCAGGGCATACCACGCAGTGCAGGTGCTTACATACATATTGAGTGCTTTTGCAGAACAGATTATATTTAGAATGTATTAATGGATGATTAAATGATTTTGTCCCGCAGTCTTACTTTCACTTAGCTCAGTTTTAGCTCAGATCATCAAGTGGCTCTGTCTTTCCACCTCAGCAGATGGGGATGTAGAGGAAGATGAGAGAGCAGAAAGAGAGAGGAAAGAAGAGAACGATGATGAAGAGGCACTGCAGAAGGCACGTGACTGGGACGACTGGAAGGACACACACCGGAGAGGATACGGCAACCGCAAAAACATGGGCTGATCTGATTTCACACACTCACATACACGTGCATCCCTTCAGTTCCCTCCAATAAAACTCCCAATGCTGCCAATATGTGACATGGACACAACCGGCTGGATGAATCTCTAGCGTAAGGGTTGCTAACAATCTGACCCCGAACTGCACCATTGCTACAATCACGCAAATGCACAACACAAAAACCACTTAATTAAACTCCAGGATGTGGAATACAAAACATGGAGACTAAGATATAACTTAGTCTCACTTTATGATATAAATATACATACAGACAATATATTTTGCCAGAGAATCTGCTGGCTAACAATCTGACCCCGAACTGCACCATTGCTACAATCACGCAAATGCACAACACAAAAACCACTTAATTAAACTCCAGGATGTGGAATACAAAACATGGAGACTAAGATTTTCACTTTATGATATAAATATACATACAGACAATATATTTTGCCAGAGAATCTGCTATGAAATCATATGAGCTCTTAATCATTTTATGTAGAATTATCAATTACCTGTAGGGCTGCACAGGACCTCCCATGGGAGGGTCACGCATCCCGGTGTACATGCTGTGGAGAAAATCAAAGTGATATTTAAGAGAGACAGATTCTTCATGATCCAACAAGCATTTTAATTCAGTCAAATCACCTTTATTTCTAAAGCACTTTATACAATACAGATTGCTTCAAAGCAGCTCCACAGTATTAAACTGGAAATCAGCAGAATCATTAATGGAAACTCAATTACAGAAACAAGCCAAATTCTCTAATAGGACAATAGTCTCATAACAATAACAAAATTAATCAATTATGAAAAAATAAAGCAGTTCTACAGACGGCAGCATTGCTATTCAACTTGAGTCAGTTGATTCAGTTCCGTTCAAACCGACTCTTAACTCAGCCTCATGAGCAGTTTTACATGCTAATTAATCGTACGCTAAATATGCCAGATTATCTGATAGTTAGTGTTTTGTCAATGGAGAGCAATAAAGAATTTAGTTCACACTTAAAAACATGGTTTAATTTATCTACCAATGTCATACTGTACAGTCATGGCCAAAAGACATAAATGTGTTAAGCAAAGTTTGCTGCTTCAGTATTTGTAGATTCTTTTTCTTGTTTCTACATGTTTCTATGGTATACTGAAAAACAATGCTAATCATCAAAGAAAATAACTTTGCACCAGTCTTCTGCTGTCCAATCTTTGTACTTCCTGCAGAATTTCAGAAGTGGCTTCTTTGCTGACCTTCTTGATGCCAGGCCGTTGTCCAAAAGCCTTGGCCTCACTGTGCGTGCAGATGCTCTCACACCAACCTGCTGCCATTCCTGAGCAAGCTCTGCACTGCTGGTGACACGATTCTGTAGCTGACACCTCAGGAGGAGATGGCCCTGGTGCTTGCTGGACACTCTGGGACGTCCTGAAGACTTCTTCACTGCAGTCAAACCTCTCTCCTTGAAGTTCTTGATGATCCGGTACATGATTCTTTCAGGTGCAATATTCTTTGTAGCAATTTTGATGCAAAGCAATGATGGCTGCATGTGTTTCTTTGGAGGTAACCATTGCTAACAAGAACACAATGATTGGAAGCGCTTCTTCCCTCCTTTTATAGCAATCAGTCTGCTCTTACAATCTAATTAGTATATTAACCTGACTAGTACTCATTCACACTTTCACATGTGCTGCTGATATGATTAGTCAATTAATGTTAGCTGGTCATTTTGTGTCACGATCGAAAAACAGGGAAATTTGTTTTTTTGTGAAAAGTTCATTTTTTGTCAATGAAGCTTTTAGCAATTATTTCAAATGCATCTGATCACTACACAATAATCTAGAAATAATGTGAATGAACACCACAACAGCTTAAGCAGCAAACTTTGCAAAACACAAAATTTATGTCACTGCCAAAACTTTCGGCCATGACTGTACACATACCTGTTTAGCTCACAAGGTCGTCCATCAGGCATGCTGTCAACAGATGGGCGCATACCACTGGATAGACTATATTAAAATACATACAGGTGCATCTCAATAAATTAGAATGTCATGGAAAAGTTCATTTATTTCAGTAATTCAACTCAAATTGTGAAACTCGTGTAT